GGTCAGCCCCTCCCCTGCTGCCATCACAGCCTCTTGGCCACAGCAGCTGAAGGACAGGGGTGGGGCGGGGTGGGAGAGAGGCAGAGAGCGCCCCTTCCTATAGTCAGTAACACCCCAGGGGTGCCCCACGGGCACCTGCCGCAGAGCACGGGCTGTGGTTCATTAAAGATCCAGCACATTCGAGCCCAGCATAGCAGCCCAGAGCCAGAGGGGCGGGGGCAAGCTCACAGCCTCTGCCACGCCCCCCTGAGTCACATCCCACTGAGAGATGTAGGCTGGGGATAATACACCACCTGCCACTCCCAGTCAAGATGATTAACTTAACCGGTTTTCTTGAAGGGCTTGGAACAGTGCCTGGCACATTGTGTTTGGTAAGTGAAGTTGAGTCTGGGTGGGGAAACATGCTCAGACTCCTAGTTCAGGTGCCTCCTAGGAGAGCTGCAGGCTAGAACCTCTACCTTTCTCACCTAGCTTCTAGAATAAAACTGGTATACAGGGAAAAAACGGTAGCATTGGACACATGACCAGAGCAGCTCCCAGAGCCGGCTCTCTTCCACACCTTCTGTCCTCCCGTTGATGCGTCACTCCTGTAACTTATTCTTACAGGACACACAGTTGACTAGTGATGCATTTACACATACTTACCGTCCTGAAAAGAAGATGCAGACACTGCATAAACAAATCCCTGGGGTCAGTTACAGCAAGACGCAATTAGGACTTCAGGGAGGGGTGTGGCTACAAATTAAGTTCTTAAAACCGGGAGCCAAAGGAGCCAACACAACCACTGTTAACACTTAGACCATGTAGCTGGCTTTAAGATCAGTTTACACGACATCATTTTTTGCTTGCGAGAGTATAATTGAAAGGCCAGATGTTCTCAGTGTCACACATGCCAGCAAATCTGCACCAGTGTTTGGTTGAAAGTTTGCCAGGACAACTGGAGCACTTACTTCCTACGCTGGTCTTTGTAACCAGTTGAATTCGTCGCACTATTGTTTTCGGGTTACTTTATTCAGATCCAATATTTGGCTTTGACCTCGGTTTACCTCACTGCTCATTTACAAAGTATATATGCCATTTATTTTCACACATTAGCAACAAAATATCCTGATTAAATTGTAAGAAGAAAATGCAACAGTATCTCTTGCTAAGTAGAGGCTTAGCAGGATGCTAGGTGATGCTCTTCCTGGGCTGAAAAATGCCATTTTGATTTGGTTGAATCTTATGGTGTTGGGAGGATTATTAGAAATGTCCAGGCACATCATCCACTTTATTATCAAAACCCCGTGAGCTAAGTCTTATTATTTTCATTGTACAGAAAGGAGATTGAGGGCTCAGACCTATTTAAATAACGTGCCCAAGACCACACAGCTGGTAAAACTGTAGAAACGGGATTAAAACCTAGCTCTTTGCTTGCTTTAGGCTCTCGTCCCCCCTTTTTACTGTATTATCCTGAACACAGGCTAAAAGTGCAAATAATGCCGTGAGGCACTTGTAGACGGTAAGACACAGTGCTGCACTTGGCCACAGTCCATCAGCTCTTAACATAGATCTGATCAAGAGTTCAGATCAAGAGATCGAGAGATCTTTCCAGAACGGAAGTCTGGTCAGTTCACTCCCCAGGTTAATGTCTTTCAGTGGCTCCCCAGTGATCCTTAAAATAAAATCCAAATGCCTCCCTCCGATAGCATATGCTATCTGTGATCTGGCCTTGCTTACATTTTTCAATTAAATTCTTGTTCTTTGTTGCGGATGTCCACCCTAGCCCATCCTAAGCTCTCCACAAATATCTGTTTAATGAAGACTATACTCTGCCACTTGGTAGTCTTCTCAATATAAACCTTGTTCCCCAGTGGCTGGGGGATTATTTCTGAGGCGCCATCTGGGTCTTCTCCTTTTGAGATCTTCATAGCAGCAGTAGGTTCGAGTTTAAGTTGGCACTCAAAGAACACTGCTCACACCTTTGAGGGTCTCTGAGGTGGGGCAAGCCTTCGTAGGAAGCTCAGATTTTCTCTGCAGGTTTAGGTTCTCAGAGGATCAAAGGTTCATGAACTCATGGCTGTGTGTTTACATCTCCTCAGTCATCCCCTGATGGTCTCTTTGGACCATTCTCTAGACTCTCAGGGTAGGGGTGGCGAGAATCCTGTGTGCTTCCCTTGATTTCCACACTTGAAGTGTTGACATGTTACCTTTAAAAATTTGGGTTACTTTTTATTGATTTATCAAAGGAAGTTGTTCTTCAACAAAACTCTTTATCT